GGATTTTTACCATCCACCGTAGTAGTGGTCGTCGTCGTAGTCGTCGTCGTAGTAGTAGTGGCAGTGGCAGTGGCAGTGGCAGTGGGTGGTCATTGAAATGGTAGGAGCACGAAACGCAGGCAAGGACAGCAGACAAGCTGTTGTCGGAAGAAAAAGACCTCCGCCAGCGACTACAATTCCTGCTACTGCTACCACGATGGCTAAGCTCTAGACTGGTACCATGTCGATTGCGATTGGTACTACTTCACAAGATGTACTATATCCAAACCAAAACAATGAGCTTCCGAGGCAAACTGATCCATGCGAGCGCAATCCTTCACCACTCCTCATCGCCCTCCCTTCAGCTGTTTGGTCCCTCCCACAGCTCTGAAAAGGGTGGCCTGGTCCATAGCATAGTCTACGACGACGGCCACCAAGCCAGATCCACCGCCGATGAAGCAGAGGAAAAGCCAGCGCATGCTGCCTCACAGAGACGGCTTCTTGTTTGTGGCATGTTGGGGTTGTATCACCCTGGGGTTGTATGACCCTGTTTGTGAGGCCGCGAGGCTGAAATTCCGGAATTTACGGAAATGAAAGGTTGTGACCGAGCCATGCCTTCTGAACAAGAATGACAAACCTGGCCCGGGTCGAACCGTCACAGCGAGATCGACAGCCTCCCCGCTGGAAAATTTTCGTACGCGTCGAAAGACGGCCGTTGGACCGCAAGTACTCCTAAGGTACGCAAGCACACTGGACAAGCAACTTTTGGTTTGGGCACGTACCAGCAACTTCAAGGTGCAAAGCTTGAGGCACACTCAAATGCCTGAACCAATGACAGCCACGTTTAGTTAACCAAAGCAATCAGATAAAGAAGTCGCTAAGCTGGTCTCGCCACATATCATCGCTTGCAAGTCACAAGGTAGTTGTCGCTGCCATACCTGATGCTGGGCGTTCTTTGGGCGTAACCGTTCAGAAAGCAGCACTGTGCAGCAAAGACATGACTGGACCCTGCTACTCCGGATCATAACAGCAATATAACAATAATATACCTATAATAATACTACAATATACTATAGTATACTATCTTATAACAATAATATACCTATATTAATACTACAATATACTATAGTATACTATTTTATAACAATAATATTCGACTCCGAGTTGCATCTCGTAGTTGATCGACTCGCATCCTTTCGGCGCCTTTGGCCCTGTGCGAGCCTGCGGGCTGCGGCCCACTGGACTTCAGCGAAGCTGATGACACACTCGGGATTCAGCGCCTCCCACCGGGCGAAAGTCTCAGCCTGGTGCTCGTCGATGTGCTCCTTTCCGATGAGGTTGCAGTACTAAGCCCTACGTATCCCTTCCCTCCTCCGATGGTCGTGTGCCGTGGAGGTCTGACGCCCTCAAGGCCCCAAGGTTTCAGGGCTTAGGGACTGCGATATCGCTTCAAGGCTCACCTCCTCATACGAGCTGAGTCGATGCAATGCTTCAGCTGTACCTTTTCATCTGAGAGACTTAAGACAAACCATCGATACCCAAATATCACTTCTTCATTAAAAACTCCCCTGAGAAGCGTCGGTGACCTGCTGCCGGGGCGCCTGATCCGACTCGGCCTCTCTTTCGATCTCTGTAAGATCCAGTGCCTCTCCGCTGGCAGCTGAAAGACAACTAGTAACTATTAGGGTCAGATCCAAAAAACTCCTTACCCATCATGATGGCTACTATCTTCTTTGTCACCATTGCCATCGATGCCATCCACCAACAGTTTGCAGCCCTGTGCCAGCAGCGGCCGAGCCTGGCCGGACGCCACTCCTTGCGAGCTGACATGACGAGATCTGGGGCAGCATCTTATCACTATAGTCATGCAAAAAGCCGACGATTCAACCGTGAGTGCATGCCGGCATGTTTGTATGTATGTTGTAGGTATCCTTAACCTATACACACACATGCATTTTGGCATAACGGCCCACAGGCGTGCATGCTGCATACATGTATGCACAGGTGTTACACACATGCACATACTCGTATTCAGGTACATGCAAACAAGTCTGTGCGGACATGTGTGTAGGCATGGCTGTGTACATCTTTGCTTGAGTGTACATGTTAGGGTACATATCCAAATGCACGAATCGTTGGCTTTAGCCGCAGTCGAACTCATCAAATTTGCACTTGAGGGCTCACTTGCCCGTGCATCTATGCGGCAGGCAAGAGTCGGCGGTGAGACACCGGCACGGGCAACTGCACAAGCCTCGGACATGGCTTCAGCCAGAACGACTTGTCACTTTGGCCGAGCAGAGGCTGACACTGCATCATCAGTGAGACTCAATCAGTGTATGGGTGCACAAGAAATGAGTCGACGATTTGTCAGTGCCGTGTGCCGCCGAAGCACAAAGGTTGCTGCACGACGGCGCGGCCATTGAATCTTTGCCAATGCATCGCAACTTCTGCCACTTACGGGACACCAGGGTTCTTAGGAGGGCTGTTCGTGAATGCTGACTAAAACGCGTGCAGCAAGTCCAAGACCATGTCCAAGAAACACTAGACCTTCGAGATGAATGGGTGGACGAGATCAAATGGCTGTTGCTGCATTCTCTCTTTCTGTGTCTTGTTGCTGTCTTTTGTGAACAAGCTCCATGTCGCATGCTCGGGGATGCTGAGGCGGGCGTGCTCTGGATATCAGGTCCACGTGAGGCTTACTGGTAGGTAGGTCACGGTGGCTGCTAGCGTTGCGTCTGTGCAAGTCATCGAGCTTTCCTGGGACCAGAGGATGAGGCCACCAGGAAACACTTGCAATTTGGTCGTTTTGAGGATCAATTCTTGGCCGCTTTGACGGACTGAAACTAATTTAGATCTCCAGAGTATGTAGAACGCTATCTTGAGTCTAGACTCATTGGAAACATGCCGAAAAGAGACTGGCGTGTCAGCATCGCAGCTCTATTCATACACGTCGCACCACAGCCTGCCCGGAAGAAGCGAGCCAAGCAGCTTGACTTGTGGCCTCCAAATCTGCAAGTGCTGTGAGGCTTCTTGCAGGGATGATTTTGAGTGGCAGTCCGTCTTGCAAGAAGATGCTGGTGCGAGAGGTGGCACATGGAAGTCTCAACACACACGATTCTATCCTTGGCCTTCAGCGACTCAGCAGTTCCGTCAAGAGCTCGTCGTATGACATGCAAGGCAGCTCCCGCCTGCCACTTTGGAGCACGGCCATCGAGGGCATGTGCATCATTACTGCTCAACAATGTGCAGTCCGGCCCTGTTCCACCCGCAATGAGCGACGCTTGCAAGATCTGGGCTTACAATCACCGGCATCTGAGAACTCCGCCCAAAGCGGCGAGGAACTCAAGCCCAACTGGCGAGTTGGCTGATTCAAGCATCCACGGGCTCTCTCATGATGTCTTCGTTTCTGTGAGTGAGAGAAAGCCGATGTCTCTCATGCTCTGCCCAGGACATCCCTTTCCGTCTCTCCCTCCGCCCGGGGCACTGCAACCGGCAGCGTCACCACTGCTTGCTATGGCCCGAGGCTGCAAGATACTTCGGCTATCGGCGGCCTCCAGCAATATCCTCTCGGAGCCACTGCGTCCCAGGGAGTGCTGCTGCTCCTGCGCTGTATACGACACATGCCTGATATCTTTGTACATCTATGCATGTGTATATCTGTATCTATACCTATCTATTTATCTAACTATCTATGTATGTATGTATGTATGTATGTATGTATGTATGTATGTATGTATGTATATGTTTGCTTTTTTATTTATGTATGTATGCATGTATGCATGTATGTACGCATGTGTGTACGCATGTATGTATGTCTACATGTATGTATGTGTGTATGTGTGTATGTGTGTATGTATGTATGTATGTATGTATGTATGTATGTATGTATGTATGTATATACACGCACGATGTATATGTGCATTACATACCTATATTTATGTATGTAGATGAGCGTATATGTATGTTATGCGTACAAATGCACAAATTCAAGCACTTAGCGCCTGCATGCTTGCATACATATACACATGCATATGGACATGCCTCCGACAATAAGTTTGTCAAATTAACTGTATGTTGTTGATAGTTTGTTGATCAGTGTACCTACCTTACTTATTTGCTTGACTGGGCTTGCTTGCTCGTCATGTATACATGTACGTGATTCTGGGCTTCGATTCATTTGTGCCATTTACAGACTTGCTTAGATGTAGGCAAGTCGATCAACTTGAGTTTTCTCCATAGTTGCCATAGTTCATACCGGACCGTTCCGAACCATTCAGGATCCGCTTGCTCTGCTGCCCGTGATGCTACTTAAAGAGCATCAACAGCTCTCATCGTTCGTGCTGTGTGCACCGCACCGTGTTTGCCCAAGTAGTACTGCCACGGAGGGCTGCAGCCCCAAAACTCCTCAAACCCTAAATGTTAAACCTGTTAAACCCTGAACCCTCAAACTTCAACCCCTGACCCTAGACAAAGAATTCTTGCGGTGGCTCCAACACGGAGTTCCGCAAGCGATGTGAAGGCGCCACCGTCCTTCCTGGCAGCTGCAAATGGCACTAACAACTAGAATAGGGTTTGGGGAAACATTGTAACTATAACCCTAACGAAGAATATTGTTTATTCCTTAGGGCTCTCCCCCCCCCCAAAACAAAAATCAGTTTTATGCTGTGCCACAATATAGCCCAAGTCCAATTATGCAAGCGATTTCCTGATCGCGACCAGAACAAGAACAGGTTTGGGCAGTACGCGAATATGCATGTACATGTGCATATTTGCAACAGCCAATGTATTGGTATTTTGGTAAGCATGACGAAGCAACGCTGACAGATCAATGGGGATTTCAGAGACGTCGATCCTTACTGTAGCGCCTCGCCGGCGCAAAGAACCATTGTCATAAGTTCCGCAATCAACTCATGCACAATAGAGTCCAAGCCAGTCGCATCATTGTGTTTGGACAAAACCGGTTTGGTTCAAAAACAAGTCTCATGCCTCGTCTAGGTTGGAGAAGCTGTCGAAGCTGCCGAGCCTTGGTTTGAAACGGGCTTTGTGTTATGGGATGGGCGGAAGAATTGTCTTTCTGACCTTGCTGGAACTGTTTCAACGTAAATGAGGAAGGTAGCTGGAATAGGATAATGGGCGAAGAAGCACCAGACTTGTAGCAACAAAACCAACACAGGACCCTGTCTTTTCGAATCCAGGGATAACATGGATGATGTAAAAGAAACTACCTCTGTCTCTTGCTAAATGTCCGTGGTATCTCGTCGCTGCGACATGGCACGGCAATGGAATAGCAAGCAGAAGAGGAAGCAGTCGTGATGGCGCTGAAGCAGGCGGAGGTGATGTTGCTTCTTGTTCTTGTCGTGGTGCTGCTCGCGGTCGTGAACAGTATAGGCAGTAGACAACTTCGACGTCGTCGTCTCACCTGAAATGTGAAGGGTCTTCGCCCGATAGCAGCAGTGGAGGCAGTAGTAGTCGTGGTAGTCGTCGTCGCTGTCGTGGTGGTCGTCGCAGTCCTCGTCGCCGTAGACGTAGATGCAATGGGAATAGTCGAAGTAGCAGCAGTAGTAAAGAGTCGTGGTCCTAGCAGTACTAGTAGTGGTAGAGGAGCGGTAGCGGTAGTGGTGTTGGTAGTGGTAGTGGTGGCAGTTGAGTTAGTGGTAGCAGTAGTAGTCGTCGTCGTCGTCGTCGCAGTCGTACTCCTAGTAGTAGCAGTAGTAGTCGCAGCAGCAGTAGTAGTAGGAGTAGAAGTAG